GCACAGAGGGCTGTGTTCTGTGTGCCCACACGTTATAACACTAAACAGAGGCGCGCGATGTTAGACGTGGGCCTAATCGCAGGCTTTGACCGAAACAATGTCCATATTATCGATGAAATGACTGCCGCAGTCATCGCCTACTTCATCGGCGGTCGCCGCAAACCGTTTGTCGGAGAGATTGTATTGATATTTGCAATTCATGGCAATTACTGCGAGTGTGGACTCATTAAATTGGGCAATGATTTCATTGAACACATGTGGTATGATGTGATCGACGATTTGAGTATATTTGACCATGGTCATCGACTCACGGACAAAATAACATCCATCATGTTTTCTAATAAATTGACCATGGACAATTTAACCCGAGTAATAGTGATCGGTTATTCGGACAGAATAACCGGCTTTCAAGACCTGATTAAGTCCACACTTACACCAGAAATTACGGGCAAAAATGCTATGCTCTATGATTGCGATGCCATCGACGAGATGGTTAAGGGAACTGTATATTACCCGCAACTGAAGGACACAATAAATGTGCGGCAAAGAGCCGACAATAACGGTCTCAATGATGACTGTATTACCGATCAGCGAAATATATTACATAAATTGGGTGTTTTGGGTTCAAGCACTTTACCCAATACAACGGTCCCTAACCGGTCGCCGCTCGACACGGGATCGCATTCTCTACGCTCAGCACCACTAACGACAGTGTCATCGGTCGTGACATCCGTTTCCAACGCAATGCCTGCGCCGACGGCGCCAGCGATTGCCGATCCGGTCCAAGAGTTTAGCCAATTGTGCGCCGATATTAAGGCCCGACTCGAGACGTGCGGTGCGATCGCCACCAATAAGAGCGAAATTACCAAAAGACTCGATGACTTCGAGAAAATTGTGACAACAAATGCCAAAGAAGTAGAGCAACAAAAACGGGAATTAAAACGAGTAATAAATTTACTTAATTTGAAAGACAAACTGATTGTCAGCTCATTTGCTATTAATGTCTTTAATAAGGTTTGTATTGTTGAGTAAATATTGTATAAATTGTATAAATTGTATAATTATGTTATGTTATTATTTCAGATCTCAAACTAATGCTAAATTTCTTGCGTTTGCAAACATTATTGAATTTTTATTTGGATATATAATTTGTATTATTTTGTTTGCATTAATATTGTAATTATTAATTAATCAATATTGTTATAACTTAATTATAATTAGTATATTACATTTTTATTTAAATATGTTCGTAAGAAATAATTAATCTAATTTGATATAAATGGCATTTGTAATAACAGTTCTAACGTTAATAATAAATAAATGTTTAATGCAATTGTTTTTATTACCATTTTTGGTTTTTAGTCTAAAATACATATAATTATTATAAATATGCAATTCATAATAATTATACAACAATTATTACAAATAAAGTTTTCTTTTTATGAAAATTAATATCAATTAGCAATTAGGGGTTTTAAATTCAATAACTTATTACAAAGTTGTTTTAAACTCGATTCATTATAATTAAAATTAATTGGTACAGTATTAGATTTAAAAATTTAAAAATTAGTTTATATAACTTATAACTATTACATAACGTACATGTTTTAATTAGGCACAAAATGTTACGTATTTATTAAAATTTGAAGTTTATAATCATTTATCAATAAGTATTACAAACAGTGATCTATATTTATGAAAATCCAAAACAAACATTGTATTCAATACTAGCAATAAGTGTAATAAATGAGAATCATTATGATTAAACATAATTAGTACAATATTAAATCAAAAATAATAAACGATTAATTAGTTATTTTAAAGAATAATCAAATTAAGTAAATTTAAACCCAATTAACCATAGTGTAATATAAGCAAAAAAAATATGGTTAACCAAAAAGCTAACAAAATCAATACAAATGATGAAAAACTAAAATAACAATTTACTGTCGGCGGCGACGCTCGAGCAGCTCAGCCATGGATAGCCGGCCCTTATGTTCGGTCACTTCGTACTCGTGAGGCTTATAACTCGGGTCTGAGGTGTTGGAGAGGACAGTCGCCGTCACCTTCAGTATGCCGTCGAAATTGACGCAAAATTTCACTTTCACCTCCTCTTTGCCCGCTTTGGCCGCTGGTATGTTATTAACAGTGAATTTACCCAATAGTCTGTTATGGGTGGCCACCGGGTCCTCGCCCTCAAACACATCCACAATCATAGAGGTTTGATTGTCGCATGTAGTGACGTAACCTTTGGACAGTGGTATGCCGTCCACAGGGGTATTGCGGGGTATAATAATACTCAGCTCATCGCCGATGATCTGAGTGCCCAGAGAGCGTGGGGTCGCGTCCAGTACCCGCAGGTTGCGGAGAGTTCGCGACTCATTTCCGTTCAGAATCGCAGCCTTTTAGAGAAAACAATGCCATATATTTATTATTTAGTCGATGCCTATATTAACCATGCTCAAATTTACAAAACAAAACAATAGTTACCTTTAGTGCCGCGCCCTCAGCCACGGCCAGCATCGGGTTCACTGTTTGGGACGGTTGGCGGCCATTGAAGAAACGCTTAATCATATCCTGAACGTACGGGATATACGTCGAGCCGCCGACCAGTACTATATTGTCGATCTCGTCGGGCGATATACCGGCGTTTTTGTTGACACTTTTCAGCGCACGGGTCACGCACTCCATCGTGCGGTCAAACAGATCTTTATTTAACTCGTCAAACTTGGCTCGAGTCAAGTCCACCACCAGATGGCGGCCGTCGGCGATGTTGTCCACCGTAATGGTTGTGGACTTGCTTTGGGACAGATTCCACTTCGCGCGCTCACAGCGTTGCCTAAGCGACCGCATCGCCCGATAGCCCTCAGCGGTCCGTTTGTCGATCTGAAGGCCCGTTTGGGCGTAAAACTCGCGCAAACAGTAATCGATAATATTGTTGTCGATATCATCGCCGCCTAAATCGTTGTCTCCGCCCACTGCCAGCACATCCACCGAACCCATCGACATCTTCAATATGGACACGTCGAATGTGCCACCACCGAAATCGTAAATCAACACGTTTCTATTTTGGTAATCAAATATTTAATTGTCACCATGTTCAATTACAGGGTAATGTTCTATTGAAAATGTACAAAACAAACCTGCTGCTCATGTCGTCAAACCGGTCGAGTTTATAGGCCAGAGCGGCAGCCGTGGGCTCATTGATTATTCCAAGTATATTAAGGCCGGCAATAATACCGGCGGCTTTAGTGGCCTCGCGCTGGCCGTCCGTGAAGTACGCGGGAACTGTAATGACGGCGTCGAACACCGGGTGGCCTAAGTCGCGTTCGGCCACTTCTTTCATTGTGCGCAACACATCCGCCGACACCTCTTCGGGCAACAGTTGCCGGGAATGTCCGTCCACTTCCACCTCAACGCCGGCCGCGCATTTGATATCCACGACATCGAAAGGCCAAATCGTTTTGTATTCCTTGACCTTTTCATCGACAAACTGACGGCCAATCAGGCGTTTTGCCGAATAGATTATTTTATGGGGACTTCCCAACAGGTTATTCTTGGCCTCTTCGCCCACCACTACCTCTCCTTTGTCTCTGTACTCAACACAACTGGGGGTCCAATCGTTGTGACCGTTTGGGCACACTTTAATACGGCCCGAATGGGCTAAACGGTCGGGCATATAATAGGCGACACAGCTATTGGTTGTGCCCAAGTCTATGCCAATGGCCGGCACTGCGGGTGCGTTGCGATAATTTTCGTCGGCCAGTGAATTGTACGGTACGCGTAATGTCTCGGACATGAACTCTGGGAAAATGTCTATCGGTAGGTGCGCCCGGGCCGGTTCGAATCGGGTCACAGCTTTGGCCACCAGTTCCTCGTGAATCTCGCCCAACCGCTTGGGATGGATGTACTGCTGGTCGCCGTACATCCGCTTCATTTCGCTATTATACCAGAGCAACGCGCGGTCCACGAGCGCCGCCTTCGCCCGCCGGCGGTCGTCCTGACGCATGGCGAAAATGTCCCGCATCTCGCGTTCCGTGTCGTCGAACCGGGCGTTCAGCGCCAGGAGGTCCAGACGCTCGCCATATATCGGCCTGTTTTCCGACACAACCCGAGTGCGAATGAGTCGACTCTCCTCCAGATACTCGCACCTGTCCTCAGTGTCGATGGAGTCGATCCACGCTTTCAACTCTTTCTCATAGAGTTGGTTCAGTGTGTTCAGCGTTCTGGCCATGTCTGTCGCCACCCGCTCTGCGCGCATTCGGTTCGTCTCACTATAGCCCCTGTATCTGTCCCTCACGTATGTGTCCAACGCCTGTCTGTAGGGCTCAAAGGGTACCACTTCGGTGCCCACATCGGCTTGAGTTAGCTCGTTGTTTATTGTGCCCAATATGGTTGCGCTCAGTGTGTCCAGCTGATCTTCAGGGTAAAATTTGTCCTCGATCTCAAACAGCTCGTTCATTTGCTACGTTAAATTACAATCAGTTTATTGTTGTATTATTTAAAAATGGAAAATAAATCAACCTGATCGTATTGACGCTTGAGTTCAATGGTAATTATCTCATATTTTGTGGTTAACTCCTGTATGGCTCGACTGTTATTACTTTTGAACCCATTTCCCTCGCTTTCCAATTGAGTTAATAACTAATTTATTTAAAATAAAATTAATTAATAATTTAAATATTATACACATTGCTTAATAATTAACTAACCCGGCGCTTGTGTTCGGCAAATCGATCCGGGTGGTCGGCAGCGAACCGATCAAACAGGTTGATTATATACTCTATTTTTGTGTCAATAATTTTACCCAGAGTATGATCGGACAGGTAGTCACCGGGTCTGATATGGTCACAAATATCCAGCTTAAACTCGTTGACCAATTCAGTGACCTTGTCGTTGGTGGCCGTCAGCCGTCGCATCTCATTCTCTTCCTTTTTCTGTCTGAAGACTGCGTCCAAAGCGCGGCTCAACTGATCCATGAGTTCCCGGACCACAGACTCGGCGGTCGACCGCTTCCGGAACCCGAAATCTGATTCTAATGTATTGATTAAGTCGTGGGATTGAGTGGTCAGTTGTCGGCCCCCGTGGAAAGGCCTGCTGTCCATTAGTGTCGACATTTTGGTCATGTATTTATCCTAAAATTATATATAATTAATTTAATTAAGTGTAATTTATCGTGATAGAAATAATTTATATTAAGTATAAAACTTATAATAAATACTTATTCATAAATAATATTTGAGTAAATTAATACGTTAATGGATAAATTACCTTGAGCTGATTAATCAAATTAAGATCGTGGGCCCGATGTGTGGCCTCAAGGAGATCGCAAGCCCGGGGACCCGACTCGCTGTTAAACATGTTTACATAATCCTCGAAATATCGGCCGAACTCGTGTCCAGTGATCGGTTGGCCATTAATTGTCTTCACTTTAATCGTATCGGGATTTAAGAGGAAACTGCAAAATACTCTCAAATTTGCATTAAAATCATCGGTCAGTTCATTGGGACAGCCGTTAAACTGTTGGCTCCGGGCGTTGACTCCCGGATCGGGCATTAAATAGCAATGAATGCTATCGAATGAGTCGCGTATAAACTGCCGCGTATTGCGGGCGAACTCGCGTTGGCCGGCGCTGGTGTCGAACCGTGTGTTTAGATAGTGTTGTCCGCCGTCCAGACCGTACGTGTGCGGCGGCACCGGTCGGGCCCAGTCTCTGATCACGAATAGCTGTAGATAAACATTTACATTTGATATTTACTTAATTATCATTATCTGAGTAATTGTTTATTAGATAAGTCATATAATGTCATCATCACATACCAAGTTTTGAAAGGGATTAAGATTGTCGACTTCGCCACCGCGATGGGCAACATTACCGGTGCTGATCTCCACGGCCTGTAGGCAGTGGTCGATATACAAGTGCATTCTCTTCAGCACATCGTCTTTGAGACCATTTGTAACGTTGAATACAAGAGTGGAAGCGCTCAGAAGACTGAGGCCAACAATGGTTGACATGTCCTGCTCTGTGCAGTCGTTGCCATCCAAGCCCTGTGTGTCCACTAAAATAATGGCCACTTCTTCGCCACCGGTTTTGCGGACAATAAAGGGCTGCGAAAACCAAATACCTCTCGTTGTGGTCTCATTCGGGTCTGTTTTCCACTCAAACCCTATCGTATATATCGGACATACAATCGGAGGGTTAGGGAGGAGTTGGCAGTGATTTAAAAACATAAATCACATGAGAGAGAGAGAGAGAGAGAGAGAGAGAGCAAAATGTCTAAATAATAAATGCAATTAAAAATAAAAGTATTACCTTTAAGAGGATCGTTGGGGTCTTCAAGAATTTCAATATCGGCGCCCATATCGTAGCCCAAGTCGTGTTCATCTGCCGGACCCGACGTTTGGACGCCATTTCTCATAGCATTCACGATATGTCTACCGATCTTATTGAGGAGGAATGAGTTGCCCTCTCCCTGTTTACCCACATTGAAAATGAGGGCCACTTTCCTGTCGCCCACTTTGGCCAGAATCTGATTCAAACTGAGTTTGTTGAGCACATATCGGGACCGATCTCTGCCCTCCATTTCTTCAATGGTGATCACCTGAATGGGAACAATCCAACGCATGTCCGCACTGTCATCACTGGCCATATCTGTACGTCTGTTATCACTCTATTGGACACAATTTAAAGTGATAGGTCTGTTGGTTAAATACTGTTTGAAAATGTGATACAAATGTAAACTTACCTTAAGGTATGATAACTAAATTTGACTGAAATTGTTAAACAATTTATACCAAACGTTTAGTTTGAGTGATGAAAACGCTGTGATCGCAGAGTTTAAAAGCTTAGAGTTATTTGAGACGATCTATGATTAATAAACATTGTTTGTATTGAGTCATTACAAAAACACAATGATATAGATTGAAATGGTTTTTAATGTGAAATTTAATTACACGTACACTAACAGTAAATAACTTTAACTGTAATTAAATAGCTTAAGCCGGAAGTGAAATTGACTATAACTGTACATATCATTTAAATGGAAATACACTCTGGTTAAGGTTTAAATTAAATTAAAATTAAGGTTTAAATTAAAATCTTATCAAGTGATTTGTGAAATATATTATAATTTATGCTTACAATAGACACCGTATGTTAATAACGGATTTGACTGTATTTGATTTCACTTTACGTCAGTATTGCATTCATTGGATGTGAACTTATTTCTCAATATTTCCTATCATTTGCTCATTGAATGCAATATTGAGATGTGTTTTACAAAAATTGAAGTTTACGTTTGAAAGTGAGTGTTGTTTAGATTTCAATTAAAACATGTGAGTAAAACATTAATTAATTTTAATTTAATTACAAATGATTTTATACACTTTTATTTCACATATTATCAAAAATTAATTATTATTTCAATTATTAATTGTTCTCATGTTTTGTGACTAATTACTGTGGGTATGACTAAATCAGGCCGGCAGTGACTGAGAATGAGCTGGGTGCTTTTGTCACAAAACTCATTGAAAAGTACACAGAGCTAATATCGCAACTGTCAGACACATGCGATCCCAACACACAGGTCTACGCGAGTAAATCACGTGATTTACGTAATGACACGTTGAAAGAGTTTGACACCGAGTTTGGCCGCAAAGAACCCATACGTTTAGTGACCGAACAGAGACTGACACTAATCGCACGGTTGGACACCAAAGACATGGAGTGTATGACTAAAGTGAAGGAAATGGGAACTTTCACCACTGCTTTGGACCAAATACGCGCCGATGAACAGCAATTGGTCAACACAGCCATTGAGTTAATAGTTATGAAATATCGGGAGTTGTTTCACCGCGTGTTAATGTCCAAGTTTTATATCCCCTCCGATTTGAACGCCATTCACAACCAATTAGTGCCCAAATGCGTGGTATTGTTAGCGCAATGTTGTGCGTTCACCTCAGCCCAAAGTGACCTCGAGAACATGTGTGCCCGAAAGTGCCAGTATCAATTGAGTGATGCTTTCACACACATTAAAGTTGAGTATACGTCAAAATTGCGGCGATTATTCGCATTAAACAATATTATTGTTAAAGATATGGACAAAAGGTATTGCGATAATATTGATAACCGTTTGGCCGCCAATTCCGCAGATGTGGACCAATTGCAGCGTTTGCTCGAAAGCGAGTTAAACAATATAATGAACACATTTGCCGCACTAATTGACCCGATTGGTCGGGAATGGGATCGGCATTTGGTCAGTGATATAGAGCTAAAGCATCGGCAGAGTCTCAATCGGGTACTGTTTGAACGAATGCGTGACTATAGGATTGCCAACTCTCGCGGCGTGTCCTCTGTTTCCAAAGCAATTTCAGTACTGGCGTCGCCACCGGTCGCCGATGCGGTTCAAGAGTTTAGCCAATTGTGCGCCGATATTAAGGCCCGACTCGAGACTTGCCCTACGATTGCCACCAAAAAGCGTATAATTGGCGAAAAACTGGTTGAATGCGAGATAATTGTCAAAATAGATGCAAATAAAGCAGAGCAACAAAAACAGGAATTATTGCGAGTAATAAAAGGGCTTAAGTTGACCGACAAACTTATCATTAGCTAATTTGGGTTATTTATTTTGTGTTTAGTATTGATCAGGTTTGTTTTGCTATAAAACTAATTTAAATGTAATGTATTTGATTGTTTTTCTATGTTTTTATTACAGATCCCAAACGAATACCTTATTTCTTGGATTCGTAAACACTATTTTTGACGAATAAATTGTTTTTATTTGATATTTGCATTTATATTAGATTTCTATTTAATTTAACTTTATTAAAATACTTTATAATTGACAGACAATCATAGAAATGATAAATATAAATACTAATTAGTAATTACACACTGTATTTTACTTAATTGTATTTTTAATAAATGATGATTGTAATTGATTTTAATTAATCATAAAACTAAATATTTTGTTGCCTGCCTTTAATATAAGAAATGAGTTTGTGGTCAACAATACATCAAATGTTAAAATAACGTAAATATAGTTTTCATTGTATTCAAAGTTTGCATTTTAAACACTAAATGCTTGTTAAAGTGATTATTTTGGTAATAAAAAAAGTTACATGAAAACAACCAAAACTTATAAAACACATTAAAATCTAGAATCAAGATAGAAGTGTTTTTTATTGTGAAATTCAATTAGTCGTACAATTAATAGCTTTGACTGCAACCTAATAGCATAAACCGGAAGTGAAATTGACTACAACTCCAGTTATTGTATTAAAATATGTACAATTAATTTCAATAATCCAATACACTCTCATTATTACTGTTATGGCACTGATAATTATTGACCATGGTCACACAATTTAACATTTGTTGATCTATTCGTACGATTGCTTTGTTTATTACTGCTATTTAATTATATGTTTAATTTTAATTCAATTACAATATCAAACTTATAAATTATAACTCTTGTATTAATTAACATTATTGTATTTGAATCAATTATTTTAAAACCAATATTTAATTTGTATGATTATTAAAACGTTAATTATTTTTGAATTAAACTATAATTTTAATTATAATAATAAATCTGTTTTATTAAACTTATTAATTGTATTGAATATATAAATAGCTATTTGTTTAACATTTTTCATAAATTTTAATCACTAATACTTTTAGTAATTATTAATTGTATATTAATTTTCATTTATTCCATACACTTTAATAATAAATAAATGTGTGTTAAGTTTAGCTTATCAAGAAATTAAAAACAATTCAGTACTAATCAAACATAGTTTTGATATATTTGTCTTTTTAATTGATTATTGATTGAAACTTTTATGTTATTTTAGTTTTATATAATTAAATTAAAATTCCTTATCCATTAAAGATCTTAATATTAAATAATATTAATAATGAATGAATACATTTCACTAAATATAATACTTCCAAACATGTTGCCAACATTTGGGAACATTCTGAATGTTGCCGCACATCTAGAACAGTGCTGCAAACATGTTCAAATACTATGTTCCACACCTACAGTATGTTCCAGATGTATGATCTAGGCTTATGTTCCAAACATCGTTCCATGTCATTAATTAAACCATTTAACAATTAATTTGTTAAATTAAAATGCATTTTAAATATAATTATTAATAATAACTAAAAGCGACTTATAAAATACAATTATACATAATGTTTATCATTGAAAATTATACACAAATAAAACATAGATGAATCCTGTAAATGAATTTAACTAAGATTTTTAATGATGGTGAGATCAGAAATTTAAAATAAACTAATTACAGATTAAACTGATAACATTTACTTCATTGAATTAATAATAAATGATGATTGTATTCGATTTCAATGTATGTGTTTACTTAATAATAAACCTTATGTTTTGTTGTTGTAATTTTGAGAAGTTGATCATGGTAATATAGTTTAATTTTTTTGCCAATTAAGTATCTCTATAATTATAATTATTAATTATCAATAATTAATTGCACTACAAGTTAGCATTTCCATCAAACAGAGGCTGCGATTCTGAACGGCACCGACACCTGTGGGTACTGGAAGTCAAGGCAAACATTGTTTTTATTAAACTTATTGCTTGTATTGAATCCACTAATTGCTATTAAATTGCAAATTTTGATTAGTATTTTTCATAAATATAAATTACTGTTGTATTTATGATTTATGATAACAAGATTAATTGTACGCTATTTTTCTTTCAATAAATACTCATTTTTGTGCATTAATTCAAAACAATTTTATTTAAAATAATCATTCATAATATATTTTTAGTGTTACGTTTTTTATGAAAACAGTTTTAAAAATATAATTTACTCCAAAAAATACAATGTTTTAATTATAAAGTTATTTATAACTAATTATAATATATTTATTAAATTGAATTATAATTTTTAGTGAATAAAAAATACGGCAAATTATTTATCAATAATTACTTTCATGTTTAAAAATCCAAGAATTTGAACATTAATTTGTAATGTAATTCTAATCTAATGTAATTAACATTAACATACAATATGTCAATTAAAAAGTAATTTACTAATTATTATATAAATTTAAATTTGAATTACAATATTAATTCACACAAAACAAAACAAAATATTTGGTAATAATAGTTTGAATAGTGTATAAAAACACAAAAATCTGGGCATAAATTTCACATTTAGTTTGAGATCTGAAATGAAAACATAACATAAAATAATTACACAATTTATCTAACATTTTAATCTCACAAAAATACAAACCTGATTAAAATTGAACACAAAATGGATTACCAAATTAGATAATCAGTTTCTGCCACTCAAAAAATAATTATAATTTCTATTATGTTTAGGAAATAAAACAATTTAGGCATAAATTTCACAATAGATTTGGATCTGTAATGAAAACAAATTAATCAAATAAATAACAATTCAACTAATTTTATAACTAAACAAACCTGGTAAAAACTAATCGCACAATTTAGTTCGTGATCAGTTTGTCTCTCAAATTGTAGCCATCAATCAATCGGAATAATTGCTGTTTTTGTTCCTCCAATTTCTTGGCATCAGTTTTGAAACATTTCTCGCAATCCAAGAGTTTTTCGGCAATTTTCCGCCTTTTGGTCGCAATCGCACCGCACGTCTCGAGACGGACCCTAATATCGGCGCACAATTGGCTAAACTCTTGTACGGCATCGGCGGCGACGGCCGCCGCCATCGGTGGCGCGGATATCGCATTGGGAACTGAGGCCACACGGGATGGCCCCGGGGTTAGTGATGCCGAGCCAACAGATTGGACTCTCGCGGTCACTGATTGGTGCCAATTATTGACCGATATATTGGGTGCACTAAAAACACCCAATTCACGTAATATACTTCGCTGACCGGTAATACACTGATAACTGAGACCGTATTCGTCGACTTTGTCGAGGTCTACGTCAGACTCCGAGCCATATGTGGTCTTCAACGTGGCATTCAAACACACGCCAAGTGAGTCCCGATCCATACGGTACCGGACGATCAGTCTAGTCAACGGGTTCACTGATTCGGCGAATTTGAAATACTTGCTCGGTTTGTCATTCACCATCAAAGTTTTGACAACTGTGTCGCCCTCCATCTGACACAGTTTAATGGGAAAACTTTTGCGATTTATAATGACCTTAATCTCATTTAGTTGTTCATATTGGTTGGGGTTGGGGTTCATAGGGATCAAAGTCTCAACAAATGGCTTGTCGTTATTCTTCTGGATCAACAGTTTGATGTCTGCCCTTATAATCTCGCGCACATCTATAGTGTCCAACTTTTTGTCCAACATTTGCCCGTAATATACGGCTCCCTTTACTATCACGTCTATGGGATCGCACGCATACAGTATGTTCTGTTTGGTCGCAAAGTCTGCGGCGATTTCGGCTTTAATCACTTCCTTAAAGTCGAATATTTTGTCCGAATGGCCGATCACCACAACTCGGCTTAAGTCACGTTTGTCAACACGTCTTAGCCATAAAGTGCGGTCAATGAAGTGAGTAAAACCATTGACATCGTCCACAACTCCATAGGATAGGTGTTTAATGCAATTGTTGTCCACTTCAATGAGTCCGCACTCGCAGTGATTGTCATGAATTGCAAATATTATGACAATCTCTGAAAAAATTAATTTACGGCGAGTGTCCATAACGTAGGCGATAACTGCGGCAGTCATTTCATTGACAATATGGACATTGTTTCCATCAAAGCCTGCGATTAGGCCCACGTCTAACATCGCGCGCCTCTGTTTAGTGTTATAACGTGTGGGCACACAGAACACAGCCCTCTGTGCGGGTGTTTTCATCGCAGTCTCGGCCCTGTGTTTAATGTCCAACACCTGTAGCGCCACAAGTGTCTCAACGATCATACAATTGTTCTGACCATTAAGTGCGGGAGGCTTTAGATGAACTTTTGGCGGTGAGTCAAAGCACCACTCAAACGGGTATCGCTTGAGTTGGTCGCCGTCCACCCGATCCCTAGCCAACAGGTCTTTCACATCAAACTCGGTGTCCAAACTGTTTGCTGTCAAATATTCTTTAGCTTCTCTCCCGAATAGGAATTGATCGGTAAATGCGATACAATTGTCGACATAGTGTTTGTTGTGGATGTTTTCAGCCCAATCACTACCATTGGGCACAAACTGTACGGTTCGGTCAAAATAGGCGCCCACTAGGAGTCGGCGCTCAAAATAGACGCCAAGTGTTGACCGCGTTTGACCGGCAAAAGCCATTTTCTCAACACTCATCCAACTTTTTAGTGATTGCGGCCGTAATTTAGATGATATTTCGGTGGAAACTTAATTACAATATAATTATTAATTAAAGCAATTGTGAGTAAAATTTTTATTAAGAAATTATAATTAATTAATGTTTTACTTACGAGTTTGAATTGAAATTGAAATAAAACACTTCAACTATAATTGTGTAAAAAATATTTCAATATTGCATTCAATGAGCAAATGATAGGAAATATTGAGAAATAACTTCACATCCAATGAATGCAATACTGACTGTGAATGTGAAATCAATTACAGTTTAATCCCGTTATTAACATACGGTGTCTATTGTAAGCATTAAGTAAAAAACATTTTACACATCACTTGATATAAACAGTAAATTAAAATTAAATTCTTTATCTCATTGAAAACCCCAACCATAATGTATTTTCATCAAACAGTTAGCCTTTCCATTAAACAAAGGCAGCGATTCTGAACGGCACCGACACCTGTGGGCACTGGAAGTCACGGCAAACATGGTTTTTATTAAAATTATTGCTTGTATTGAATAAACAAATTGCTATTAAATTGCAAATTTTGATTAGCATTTTTCATAAATATAAATTACTGTTGTATTTGTAATTTATGATAAATAACAGAATTAATTGTACCATATTTTTCATTCAATAAATACTAATTTTGTGCATTAATTCAAAACAATTTTATTTAAAATAAAAAATAATCATTCATAATATATTATTAGGTTAAGTTTTTATGAGAACAGATTTAAACATATGATTTACATAAAAAATATAATGTTTTAATTATAAAGTAATTTAATACTAATTATAATATATTAATTAAATTGGATTATAATTTTTAGTGAATACAAAATACGGCAAATTATTTATCAATAATAACTTTTATAATGTTTAAGAATCAAAGAATTTGAGCATTAATTTCTTATGTAAATCTAATCTAACTTAATGTAATTAACATTAACATACAATATGTCAAATAAAAAGTAATTTACTAATTATTATATAAATTTAAGTTTGAATTACAACATTAATTCACACAAAATAAAACAAAATATTTGGTAATAATAATTTCAATATAAAAACACAAAAATCTGGGCATAAATTTCACATTTAGTTTGAGATCTGAAATGAAAACATAACATAATTATACAATTTATCTAACATTTTAATCTCATTAAAATACAAACCTGATTATAATTGAACACACAATGGATTACCAAATTAGCTCATCAGTTTTGCCACCCAAAAAATAATTATAATTTCTATAATGTTTAGGAAATAAAAAAATTTAGGCATACAATAGATTTGGATCTGTAATGAAAACAAATAAAAAATCAATCAAATAAATAACATTTCAACTAATATTATAACTAAACAAACCTGATACAAACAAAGCCCACAAATTACAATTTAGTTCGTGATCAGTTTGTCTCTCAAATTGTAGCCATCAATCAATCGGAATAATTGCTGTTTTTGTTCCTCCAATGTCTTGGCATCAGTTTTGAAACACTTCTCGCAATCCAAGAGTTTTTCAGCAATTTTCCGCTTTTTGGTGGCGATCGCACCGCACGTCTCGAGTCGGACCCTAATAGCGGCGCACAATTGGCTAAACTCTTGTACGGCATCGGCGGCGACGGCCGTCGCCATCGGTGGCGCGGATATCGCATTGGGAACTGAGGCCACACGGGATGGCCCCGGGGTTAGTGATGCCGAGCCAACAGATTGGACTCTCGCGGCCATTGATTGGTGCCGATTGGTGGCCGCTATGGCAGGCACTGAACCGGTGCCCAAAACACCCAATTCACGTAATATGATTCGCTGACCGGTAATACACTGATAGCTGAGACCGTATTCGTCCACTTTGTCGAGGTCTACGGCCGACTCGGAGCCATACGTCGGTTTCAACGTGGCATTCAAACACACGCCAAGAGTGTCCCGATCCATACGGTACCGGACGGTCAGTTTAGTCCACGGAATCATTGTGTCGGCCAACCAATACTTGCTCGGTTTGTCATTCACCATGAACGTTTTGACAACGGTGTCGCCCTCCATTTGGCACAGTTTAATGGGGAAACTTTTGCTATTTATTGTGACCTTAATCTCATTTAGTTGTTGATATTGGTTGGGGTTGGGGTTCATAGGGATCATCTCATAGGATTCAATGGTTTGTTTGTCGTTATTCTTCTGGATCAGCAGATTGATCGGTGTCCTCATAATCTCGCGCACATCTATAGTGTCCAACTTTTTGTCCATCATTTGCCCGTAATATACGGTTCCCTTCGCTATCACTTGTGTCGGATCGCACGCATACAGTATGTTCTGTTTGGTCGCAAAGTCGGCGGCGATTTCGGCTTTAATCACTTCTTTAAAGTCGGGTATTTGGTCCGAATGGCCGATCACCACAACTCGGCTTAAGTCACATTTGTCCACACGTTTTAGCCATAAAGTGTTGTTAATAAAGTGATTAAAATTATTGAGATCCACAACTCCATAGGACAGATGTTTAATGCAATTGTTGTCCACTTCAATGAGTCCGCACTCGCAGTGATTGTCATGAATTGCAAATATTATGATAATCTCTGAAACAATTGATTTACGGCGAGTGTCGATGACGTAAGCGATGGCTGCGGCAGTCATTTCATTGACAATATGGACATTGTTTCGGTCAAAGCCTGCGATTAGGCCCACGTCTAACATCGCGCGCCTCTGTTTAGTGTTATAACGTGTGGGCACACAGAACACAGCCCTCTGTGGAAGTGTTTTCATCGCAGTCTTAGCCCTGTCGAGCACCTGTAGGGCCACCAATGTTTCGACGAGCAGACAGTCATTCTCACACTTAAGTTCGTTAGGCTGTCGATGAACTCTCGGCGGCGAGACTGAGCACCACTTAAAAGGGTATCGCTTGAGTTCTTCGGTGTCCACCCGATCCCTACCCAACAGGTCTTTCACATCAAACTCGGTGTTCAAACTATTTGCTGTCAATTGCTGTTTGGCTTTTCTGCCGACTATAAAGTTATTATTGTTGAATGCAATACAATTGTCCACATAATGCTTGCTGTGGTTATCATTGGCATCAATGTCATTTGGCACAAATTGTACGGCGCGATTGTATTGATCATAATAGCCGGTCACTATCACACGGCGCTCAAAGTAGACACCGATATTGCCGGCGCCCGACGCGTTGCGAAAGTTCTTCAGCTCATACTCGCGTATTTGGTCCACCAATTCCTGGTCGAGCCGACCCCTCAGCGTTCGGTCCACATTACCAACCAAATGGGGGTCCCATTCGACACGAAGTGCGTCCATTTGTTGTCCAAATCTGGCCATTGTTTCGCTTTTCTCGCTTTCGAGCAAACGCTGCAATTCATTGATTGCTATAAAATTAAAGTCCAAATGCTTTGGAGAGATATTCTGGCAATACTTTCGGTGCATATCTCTCACGAGATTAACGTTTAATGCGAATAAACGCCGCAATTTTGCCGTATAGTCCCCCTTAATCTGGGTGAAAGTGTCACTTAATTGACCCTTACACTTTCGGACACACCTGTCCTCGAGGTCACTTTGGGCTGATGTGAACGTACAGTTGTGCGCTAACAATGCCAAGCATTTGGACACTAATTGGTTGTGAATGGCGTTCAAATCGGACGGGATATAAAACTTGGACATTAATAGCCGGCGAAATATATCCCGATATCTCACAATTGTTAACTCGATGGCGCTGTTGACCAATTGCTCTTCACCATGGCGTATTTGGTCCAAAGCAGTGGTGAAATAGCGGTAACTTTTGTCATACATTTTATGCAGTCTTTCCATAAGTTGTGAATTTGAGAGCAAAGTGTTGGGCACTTCTGCCTCTCGTTGCATATCCCGGAGCCGTCCGTCCGATACATATCTTGTATAGTCTATGCTCTTACGACACATTTTCTGATAACTTTCATTACAATCGTATAATTGTTTGAATTTACCGCCAAATTGAGAGATTTTAGGCGACAAACGAGACAAATATGCTTTCCGTTGATATTCACGTTTTGATAGACTCATCGCCCGATTATTACACAAATTAGTTATCGATTTATTAACCGTAGTATAGATTTTGTCGTAATTATTAGTCATAGCGTTGTTCTCAATGTCCTCATCGATGGCTGCAATCATTTTGTCGTTAAACTCTTTGACACACGACTCAAGCAATTCCTGTAAATTCTGACCGCTTTTAGCCATCATTTCCTTCGCTTTAGTCATACACTCCATGTCTTCGCTGTCCAAACGTGCGATTAGTGTCAGTCTCTGGTTGGTCACCAACTGTTGCGGTTCTTTGCGGCCAAACTCGGTGTCAAATTGTTTCAATGCCTGATTACGTACTTCACGTGACTTTCTCTCATAGGCCTGTGTTTCCAGATCGCACGTGTCTAACAATTGCGATATTAGCTCTGTGTACTTTTCAATGAGTGTCGTGACAAATGCATCCAGCTCATTCTCAGTCACTGACGGCCTCTGTTTAGTGACTGGTGCTGAGCGTTTGTATTCACCAGTTATAACACAGTCATTGTTTGCATCACTTTTTGTCTCATTAGTAGTGAATGTCATAGCGTTTGTGTCGTTTGAATAGTAATCGCAGTCATCGATAGTTGACTTAACGGGCGAGCAATGGGTGTCCAAAGTGACCGGTTTGACGAGGTTTGCCACGAGCTCTGTTTGTTCACTGATTTGACACTCGGTCAAACTGTAGTTGCGTTGGGTGAAATGCCAATGGGCAAGTGATGGGCCAATATCTGTGTCAATTTGCACACTTATGTTCAACGTATTGTTGGCACCAATTGTGGCGAATACGTCAATATAGAGGGTTTGATAGGGCAGAGAACGGGTGGGGTATTCGCTCAGCACATACTCTTTGATCACCGAATCGGGGCCTTCGGTAATGCGGACAGTAATCGGGAACGGATCCGATTTGTATAACTTATACTTAACATGGTTGTTTTTCTGTGGCACATGATTAGCGTGCAGTAATGTTTTGCTTTTATGTCCAGAACTGATATGACAAACGATATCCCTAAACAACACTCCAGTGATGGGTATGTTATGGCCATTGGTTTCGTAGTAATTGCTATAATACACGGCACCGATCCTAATGGCATCCCAATCGTCCATGGCCTTTTGAGAGCAATAATCATTCAGAAACTCAAAATCAATGGCCTCCGTTTGGTCCGTGTCACCTAAGTGATTACATTTAATAATATAAGTTAAATAAATTATCATAATGATTTACAATTAATTAATAATTCAAATCTATGTACACTAACCCACTATAAAGCAGTGATATATTTTGTTGATGCCTTTTGTCAACATTGAAAGCCGGAATTGTTTGAATAACTTTTGCGTGCATTCGCTTAATGTGTTGTTAACGGCACTAAAATCGTCACCACTTGACGGCCAGTCGATGTCCACCCGTTTGTATGCATTGTATTTAACACTCATGTCTTTGTATTCAACGAGTGCTAACTCACAGACATTGTCAGTCAATAAAATGATAAACACGTCCGGGAAATGTGTGTTTCGTTTATATTTACTGAGATTTAAGCCAAAGTTAACGGCAACCGAGGTCATTTCGGTTATAAACTGAACATGTTCAATGCCCGCGATTGTCGCCGCGTCCCTGAATGCGTTCAATTTCCTTATGGTGTAATCCGTTGACAAAATAAATACCACGTTTTTCATGTAGTTTTCATACACCTGTTCAACACTAGTCTTCGCGTCCAATACTTGTGATGCAAGCAATGACTCGATATATAACTCAATATTCATCTCTTTTTCAAATACGAGCCGTACTTTTGGGTGCCGTTTGTCCACAAAATCAAAGGGATAGCGATTGAGTTCATCGTCCGTCACATCCCTTCCCATCAGGTCTTTGATGGCAAACGTGTGTCCATTCAGGTGTTGCTCGGCTTCCCTCCCGTATAGCATATTCTGTCCGCCAAACACAACGCAATTAGACTCGAGGTGACCGTTGGGATCACAAAAGTCAACGGAGCCTAACGTTTGGTCGACATAATAAACGACAATTGGTTTGCTCTCAAAGTCCATAATAAGTGTATGAGTTTTGTTTCGTTTGCGTTCATTGAGTGCCCAGTATTTCGCTTTCGAGTGATTGATATTCAGCGCAATATTTTCCCGATTCTTAGCGCATATTTCCCGCAAATATGTGTCGGCAAACCGTGTCTTATAGGCCATCACTAGCTGTTCCTGTCCTGACCATAATTGATCCAACAGCTGTTTATGCTCGTGGTCAAATTCAACGCGCTTTATAAAAGTACTCTTGATAAGTTTGGCTTCAAATTGTGTGCAATACTTTCGGTGACAATGCAATAGAATTCTGTTCATTTCTGTGATGACAAACTGGTGATTTTGTTGATTGTTTGCCAAATGAACTTGGTGCACCGATCTTATGTAACGATCAAAACTCTCTTTGCATGTATTAATAACACTGGGTTTGCGTTGTTTTAATGATAGTCTGTCCGCAACGCGCGTCCAAATAGTGTCGCAAACAGTGTTGTGTTGTTTGTGGAAAGTTTCGTCAGTAAATGTCCCGCTTTTTAATAAACCATTCATTTCTTTGTCGTACATATCTTTGCACATTTGAAGGCATTGTTCAATTTTGTCTGTATTTTCGCTATTAGTTTGTGATATTCTTCGCGTGTATTTAATTATCGCACTTTCGGTCAATTGATTGTATTTTTTGCATAAATTGCAATCATTTTCAAACAACTCTTTGATCTTTTCATCCGTCAGTAAAAACTGTTTCAATTGTGTTTCGTTTATGAAATACACGTCCGATTCGCACAGATGTTCACAATTGGCCACAAATGAGTTATAATTTGAGTCAAAGTTAGCGTAAATCACTTTCCGGTCGTCCATAAACTTATCCAAAGTTCGCGAATACCGTGCCTTCAATTTTTTGTCGCCATTCCATCGCTGATTAAATGCGGCCTTAATGTTACTCTCGATGGTAGCAAAAAATTTGTCAAAACTTTTGCATTTCATATTTGGCTCAAACCTATCGTTGAGTTTGGTTTGAATTGATTTCGTGAAACTTTCCTTCAATTCTGTCACCAATTGATCGCCAAATACGGACTCATTTGCGGATTGACTCTCAGACACATCATTGTCGGCGCCATTGGCAGCACCGGTGGCCGCATCGCAACTGCCGGCGCTATTGACTCCCAGCGGTGGCGAGTGATTGACCGGTGATTGTCCGCTCGTTCGGGGCGTTTGCCGTTCATTTGATACGATAAGAGGTGTCGGTGTCGGCGGTTTCTCCGGCACCAAATCGGGTTCATGTGTTGGGCCGGTGTTTACGCTGTTATTATTATTCAACTCTTGAATTTTGCCCATGATCACTTTCATTAGCTGATCGGTGTTAGTAAATGTAATGCCATTCAAACGATTATCGACATCGAGCGCATTTATGCGTATAAATGTGTTCATTTGGTCCACATATTGCGGGCAAAGTTCACGTAATTTCCAGTCAATATTCTTGACGTCATTTGTTGGACACGAGACTAAATAAGCGCTGAATTTATTAAACTCTTCCGAAAGTTTTCGGTAATTTTCTGATCGATCGCTAATTTGCGAACCGTTGGCCATAAGTGTCTCGCAATCACTGCCTTCCCATTTGGTTAATGTTCTGAGCAAATAATCGTATGAATGGATCCACAGCTTATATTTGTCACCAGACATGTCGGGGTATTTCTGTATTAAGCAATTAGATTATTGTATCATGTTTAACATTTTTACAAAATCATTTATAATTATACATACCTTAAGACCCGGTTTATTGATGGCCACAATTGTGGATACGCTTAATATGAGTCGAAACATGTGAATGAGTGAAGTGTCGCCTCGGATCAGATCGGCTAAAGTGTACGCAAAGTTCTGCACATTCACTAACAGTACGGCCACTCGTGTAGTGCCGTCGCGAACAATGAACGGCTCGGACCACATCTCAACGCCCGGACATTTTTGTTGACCACGATCATCCGGGTCATTTTCAATACTTTTGAACCCACTGTTATATCTAAGTATCAGATCGCGCGGCCACTGATCAGGGTAAGTGTGGCCACTGTTTCGTCGTTGCAGGTAATTCAATATGAGATTAGCAGTGAAAGTGTTTCCCTCGAAATGCGGTCCAATCACTGATACGATCGCTATTTTATCAAATTGCTGGTCATTTAGTTTTCGCAATACATCTGATAACAAATGTTTGTTTAAATGAAAGCGATTTCCAATCACTTCAACCACTCTTAGGTTTGCCATTAGTTTTCACTCAAGTCTTCACCAAAACATCGATTTCTTAAAAGTAATGAAAATAATATAAGAATTACATTAATTTATAAATTATGGTCAATAGTAACCATTTATAATTTATAACGAGTTTTATCACTATCACAATTAGTCATAATTTTAAGCTTAATCACAACACCTGATAACTAAATTATAAAAGCATTTATAAATAATTAATGATGTAATTTGAATAAATGTTGACAAAAATAATTAGTAAATTAATTAACGTAATAATTAAAATAAATTCATGGTTTACTCACATGTTTTAATTGAAACGTATTTCAAACAAAATTAAACATCAATTTTTGAAAATCACATTTCATTTCAATATTGTATGAAATGATAGGAAATATTGAAAACTAACTTCACATCCAATGCTTTCAATACTGTGTGCGACAAATGCCAGACAATACTAAATGAGTGAAACACTGAAGTCATGTATTGAAAGGTATAAAATATTTGCATTGATTTCATTTTCAATGCAATTCACACATCACTTGATAAGATCATAATCGCATTATTAAACCTCAACCAACATGTATTTTCATTGATCGCAATCTTATCACGTGTTAATATGCGGTTATGTGAACCCAATGGTTACATACAGTACATGATGTTTATAATGACAGTGTAGTGGTAGTGATTGGGTTATTGAATGTCTGGCTTTACATTTACATCATAAATTTTATTAGCTTTCATTCAGGGATTGAATTAAACAATAGGTTATAAAATACAATACAATGTGTTATAAAATTAAGGTTGGTAAATTACATGATTTTTTTTGAAGCCATGTAATTTACATTGTAAAATACAAAAATGCACGTAATATACTTGTCATATTACTTACTATGGGGGAAAAATTAACATATTTTAAGACTAAAAATTAAACATTTTTATTGCAATTATGACATTAATTATACATTTATAACATTTTTACTATGGGGGAAAAATTAACGTATTTTAAGACTAAAAATTAAACATTTTTATTGCAATTATGACATTAATTATACATTTATAACATTTTAATCACTAATTATTTCAAATTCTACAATTGAATCTGATCCAGTAATTGATTTTTGACAAAATTGCAGCAATTTTTATTATCTGTTTTTGTAAAATAGTTCCAAATAATTGATTGTGGCTATTATTTAGTCATTTTAATCTGTGATTATTTTAACAATAATAAACAAATAACAAGTTTGCAAACATTTTACCCAAGTTTTGTAAAAATATTTAAAATATTTTACCAATAAATTTTTTTAATGATGTATTTTACAAAATGAAAAATCTGTGCATGTAAAATACATGTATGTTTGAAACCTAAAGTCACACTACATTTACCAATACATGTAAAATACTATGTAAATTACATACGTAAAATACATGGTTTGTCATATTGCCAACCCTATATAAAATACTGTATGTATTGGTAAATGTAGTGTGACTTTAGGTTTCAAACAAACTACATATCAAATAAAAGGCAAGTTTTTTAACATTTAGTGATTGGTTGGACGCAAACACTCATTGCGTTTACAGTTAATTATTAACTGTTAATAATTGTTATTTTCATACAAACTCTCAATTTTTTAAACACAACATAATTAGTGTTTAAAAGTTTTTGAAAAAGTTTTTTTTTGAAGATTAAGATTAGATTACAATTATTTGTCTAAAACTAAAATTCAATTAAATTATAACATTTGCCGCAAACAATGTCTGAGCGGACAGTCTTTGTATTGGATGTGTCGGGAAGTATGGCCGGAGCCAAGTGTGGGACTCTGCACTTGGAGACCGTGCGCTTCATTAACCGCATCAATGATGGTAATTATGTGGGTATTGTCTTATTTACCGAGCGAGCGTGGTCGGTGCACGAAGTGACCATGGTCACTGGTCAAGCCGTGAAGAAAAGTCTTGTACAGGCCGTACCGGTCAGTGCCGGCGGAGGCACTGATATCGGGGCGGGTATTATGGAGGCGTTGGCGGCATTCAGTCGCGCCCGAGTGGACACCAAAGGCGCGAAGATATTTCTGGCCACCGATGGCGAAGATGGTAGAGATCATGACTATGTGGACTATGTTTTACCGCATTTGAAAAACGCACAGGTTAGTTTATATTGGTTAATGCAATTGACTTTAGTTTTTAATCACTAACTTCAGGTCAAAGTGTATTGTCTGGCAATCGGTGTGAGCGCTGACCACCGATTGGAGAGACTGGCGATGGGAATTGGAGGTCAAGTCTTCAACTTGAGTCGAGTGGACGCCGAGAGCCGCGAAATGATGGCCCGCGTAATGGAGGCCGCGATGAAAGAAGTCATTACGAGTAAAGAGATGGCAGAAGTGGTCACTCATACTGTTGTCAATGAAATTGTGGTCATAAATGGCAACACATATGAGACTCGAGTGCCCATTGAGGCCGACATCGGACGCAACACTCAAATCCATGTCCGCTATGAAGCCATCAATGATCTCGAGGTGGAGATCACCGGCCCGTCGGGTGTTGTCTATAGCACTACCGGCGGAGAGATTATGAAACGATTGGATCTGAAAGAGTGCGTCCTATTCATGGACTCGACTCAATCGGGTCTTTGTGCTATTAAAGTGATGGCACAGACATTGGGCACAGTTAGGGCTCATTTGATAGTCGAGAGCAATCCTACTGGCGCTCACGCCATTGGATTGCAAGTATTTTTGCGCGCATCGGAGGTAAATTGTCCGCCGATTGTCTCATGTAAGCTGTGTAAAGGCAATGACCCGATTGTGGGCGCTATAGTGACGGCAACAGTGGACAGACCGGGCGGTACGCAGACTGACCTCTCGTTAGGTTTGTATCACAAAGAGGGCTATTATTACGCATACTTTACCGACTATAGCGGCGCCGGCAGATATAATGTTAGCGCATTGGCTGTTAATGATGGAAACAATACGACTTACAAAGGTATAGAGAGTTTAATTAAATTAAAGTACACATGTTTAATTTATGATTATCTAAATACAGGCGCACCCATCGGGCAATTCCGTCGCCAACGGGTGGCCAATAGTTTTCAAGTGATGGCCGACTCTATGACCACTCAATTGCCCGATTGTGACCACTTTTCCCAACTGTTGTTTAGCAAGCAATTTGGGTCAATGCGTATAAACAATACCACCCAATCGGGAGCACCGGTGGGTCCGGCGCCCAAACGGTCGGGTTCTTCGCTGGACAGCAAAGTAGTGCTATTAAGCCCTGAAATGCGATCACTTAAAAGTCGATTGGCTTCTAGTTATTATCGCACAAAATTGGCTGTCAATGGACTACAGGTGTCCGCGAGTGACAAGTCTGGCCTCAATAATCGGTTGTCAACTATTGAACGCTTCCTAACCTCAGTTCGCGAGACTTCTATCGAAGAGATCGATGGATATCAACACACTTTGGATGACGCGAACAATGAGGTTATGGCCCGAAGACTAACGAATTGATTTGTCTATCAAATGATTATATGTTTGTTTGTAATTAATAATTAATTAATCATATCTTTAATTGTTTTCTTATGATTTGCGACCAATACTTATAATTATATAATTTATAAAATATTATAATTTTTGGAATACTTATAATACAACTAAATATTATACAGCGTTAGCCACCGACCGTCTTAAGCTCCGCCCATAAAAATAACCAATCACAGCAAAGTAGACTCTCGCTTTTGCATTGTGGCACTCAAAGCAAACTCAAAACAGCGCATGTTTAAGGTTATATTTATGGGC